ATAAATGCATAGTTTTTTTTTTAAACAAAATGCATAGTTTTAATTATTAACAATCACATAATTATTAACCAAACGAGCATTTATTTCATTATGATAATAATTAAGATCTTCAATCAATCAATTGGATGCATGTATGACATGATATTAAGAAAACTTTGATAAAAATGTTTGAGAGCCAATTTGCTCGCAGTTACAACAACATTCATTTATGTCAGTGCATTCCCACTCGTAACAGTGATTCCCTGTGCACCAATTCTCGCAAGCTGTATTATCACATCCCTCCATGGGAACCTTCACCTGAGTAGGGCCGGTACAAGTTTGAGATGGAGGGGGAGATGACTCCATGATTGTATCATCTGAAAAGAATTAAATATGTTTTTAGTTCTTATAAAATATATAAATTTTTTTTATTTTAGTCCTTGTAAATATTTTTTGTTTAAATCATTCTTACATTTTTTTTATTTTAAAAATGGTGCTTGAACGTAATTAAGTCTTCTAATGCCCTAAATTGTGTTTTTCATCGAATTATATTCTCAATTTCAAAATTTTATTATACTTCCTCTGTCTCAATTTAAATCATGTAGTTTAGATTACGACATTTGACTGATGTTATATTTAAAAATATTTATTTGAAAATGGGGGTAAAATTAAGAATATATATATATATATATATATATATATATATATATATATATATATATATATATAAACCACATTTATAGTTCTACCAAACTAGAGGTGACATGAAAATATTATTTTATTAAGTGAGTAACGAAAATAGAGAAAGAAAAGTGAATGAAGTTTGTTTATGTGAATAGTAAACAGAAAACATAATTTCGAACAGAGGAAATATAAAATTTGCAAGAAATTTAAGAATTGAAGATGTAATATGAATGTAGACACAATTAAGGGCATAAGCATTTTGCTAGAGCATTTAGAAATATAATGCAACACTAAGGTGTTGAATTTAAAATAAATGTGCTACCTCAACTAATTAGATTTGCTGATTATGTTCAAGGACCATTTTAAAAATAAAAAAATTATAAGGATGATTTTAAAAACTAAAAACACTAAAAATAAAAGTCACCTGATTTACAAAGACTAAAACTATATTTAACCTATCTAAAACAAATACAATAACAAACATGAAATAGTTTTTTGGATCAAATGAGAATGATATTATAATAAGAGAACGAGGATGCATCTTCTGTGTTAGATGTAAGATCTAAAGACTTGAAAATTCAAAAAGTTAGAGAAACTAGAAAAATGCAATGGTAGTTCAGTAAATAAGTCAAAATTTGCGGCTACTAAAACAATGCAATGTGATAATGTAAATGTGCATTACAATGGACGAAAAATGTATCATTCTTATTTCTCATGTGAAGAGTCATTCTTATGAGAACCACACGTAAATGATTTTATGGTCGAACGACATGACTCTAAACACAAACAACATTACTCAAGTGTCTCAAAATATCACTCCCACCCATTACGGGGTAAGGGAGTGGAGGGAGGTCTGATGTACATAGCATGACTCAAAATATGAGATCATAAATTCACTTCTTCAAACCCTAACATGAGTGTTGATTCTATGTACTTCATTACAAATATTACTAGGGAGCATATTCTAATAGTCAATAGTATTCAAAAAGAAAAAAATTACTATCATTACCACTAGTGCCAAAACCCAAAAGCATGAAACAGAGTGCTAACCCCAAATAAACCTTCATAATATTTGATTTTTCAATAAATAATTAACTATAAACCTATATATAATTTTAGGGTATACTATCAATTTTTCTTGCTCGTAAATTTTTTATGGTGAAAAACTTAACTAGTGACCTTGAGGTTTTATACTTCTACACAAATGCATCTAATATCTATTACTCCATAGTACTCCGTTAAAAAGAAAAAAAGAATTAAAGCACTAATTAAATTTCATTTATTATTCCAAAACAGAAAATTACTACACTTCAATAAAAAAAAAGCAACGTAGCAGTAATTGTTGCATTAATTTCCTTTTGAATATTGGTTGGATTTAGAAGGTTATATACATTTTTTGATCCCAGTAAAATTCATGAATTCTGCTTTTGATCTTTTTTTAAAAAAAATTTAATCAAGTCATATATCATATCATTGTAACATTTTATTTGTTGCAAATAATCCCCCAACTGGTTTAAAGAATAGACTACATAATAGATTTAAGCAATTCGATCTATTTAGGGTTGGTAATTGCATAATGCGTGCCACCATGTTTTGGGGTTGCTTTTCGGTTTTTGAGCACATCAACCATATTTTGAAGGATTATGCTATGTGTACCCCAAATTTTGTACCCCAATTTGTACTCCGCAGTTTTGCACCAATACTTTGTATTGGTGTAAAACTAATTTTTGTTAAATGCACCCATTTGTGTCCGTGTGAATTTTTATTAACGCACCAACACTTGTGTCGGTGTAAACCATCGAAATGTTTGTGCAAACCTGTGGTGTACAAATAAAGTATATTTTTTGGTGTAAATGTAGCATGGTCCTATTTTGAACAAAACATATTGCCCTTAATGTGGCAAAGAGTTAGTTATCTTGGCCGAATTTAAAGAAAGGTTTTGATAAGATTAAATAATTAGCCATGTGTGCAAGGCAACGTAAGGAAGTCAATTTTAAATGTCAATATACATTGTCATATTATCATAATGCAAACTTCTATTTTGAGGATAAAAATATGAAAATCCTATTTTGATACTGTAACAATGTTTAGCTCCAATTTATGGTAATTTTTTTAAGCAAGTATGTACTTTTAATACTCCCTCCGTCCCACTCTTTTTGTCCACTTTCATTTTTGCACACCATCCAATGCACTTCTTTAATCCATTTTATTTTGTAATTTGTATATTAAAAAATTATAAAAATTATATATTAATAATCTATATGTTAAGACGAATCAAACAAGATCACACATGACTATTTTTAGGCTTACACATTGAGAGAATTTGATGAGTCAAAGTGCTTAGATGAACAGTTCCAAAAGTCAAAACTGGACAAAAAGAGTGGGACGGAGGTAGTAGTAAAAATACAACCCTTACACTTTAGATAGAGCATAACAGTGTGTGTAGTGTTAGAGCAGTGGAAATAGATAACGCCAAGGGCGTTTTTCGACTTTTAGCGCATGGGGGCGTTAAACACTACTCCCTATGCGCGTTATATATGAATTGAAGGCGTTAAGTTGCCAACATTAAATGTTTGACGCAGCTTTGATGCATGTGAATGTTGCCTCCCTCCCAATGGTTAAAAAACTCACCGTTGGCAATTAATTTTTTTATTTTTCAACTATAAATACCCCTTGTAGAGATTATTGGAATATTATTATTGTATTTCACACACATAAGGAATATATACATCTGAGTATATAGAGAGAGGATTCCTAACATAATTAGGAACCAAATATAGAAGTCTACTGTAATTAGGATTACTTAACATAATTGTCTAACATCCCCCTCAAGCTGAACTGAGTCACGAGTGGAAGCTTGGACACAAGAGCATGAAAGCGTGGTGCAGGTAGTGCCTTGGTTAACATATCAGCCAATTGATCTTCAGAAAAACATGAGACGCTCATTGTCCCAGCAAGGACTTGTTCTCGAACGAAGTGGCAGTCTATCCCAACATGTTTCATACACTTGTGAAATACCGGGTTCTTTGTGAGACATATAGCAGACTGATTATCGCAAAAGAGTTGAGGCTACACCAAGGGGACGCATAAGTCGGATAGAACATAAGTGAACCACATAACCTCAAATATTGAAGCAGATAGTGCACGATATTTAACTTTGGTAAAAGACTTAGACACCCAAGTCCGTTTCTCTATACTCAAAGATATTAGATTCGGTCCTAGGTGGACCAAGTACCTAGTAACCAAACGCCCATCTGTCATGCCATTAGCCGAATCTAAATCCGAGTAGGCCCGTAATTGAAGATCACCAGACTGAAACACAAGACCTCTATCAATAGTTCCTTTAACGAACCACAAGATCCGTTTCAAGCTCTAAAAGCCATTCTGTGTAGGGTCATGCATATGCTGACATACATAATTCACAGCAAATTGTATGTGCAGATGAGTAGTAGTAAAGTACTGGAGAACCCAACTAGACTTCGAAACAAAGTTGGATCATGAAACGGCTGATTCCCCCCATTTTCCATTGTTATTGCCCGAACGGGAAAGGGGGTCGGCGTTGGTTTACAGTCGGCGAGGCCAACCCGTTGGAGAAGTTCCGTCGCATACTTCTTTTGAGAGACCGTGAGAGTAGATGAGGTGTGAGTGACTTCAAGGCCTAAGAAATAGTTCAATAAAAGGTCCAAGATCCTTCATTTTAAATTCTAGGCACATACGACTAATAAAAATTTGGACAAAAGCGGAGGAGCTGCCTGTCGCAATAATATCGTCAACATATACGAGGAGAATAACAGTACCAGGAGGAGTATGAGAGACAAAGACACTAGTCTCATGTACACTCTTGCGAAAACCATAGGCAAAGAGAAAAGACGAGAGACGCATGTACCAAGCACAGGGAGCCTGTTTCAAACCATGCACAGACTTTGTGAACTTGCAAACACGGCGTGGAAAACGAGAGTCAACATAGCCTGGGGGCCGAGTCATCTCATGACAAAGTTGGTTTAATTAAAGGGTGACAAGTGACATTATGCCACATGTCTAATGATGTATCATTATTTAATTAGTCCATTTTTTTATTATAATACTTTGGCCCTGTTTAGAATTTAGTTGTTGGCGGTTGGCTGATAGCTGTTCGTGTTGGCTGGTTTGATCAACTAGTTGAGTTGGCTGCTTAGACTAATGGACTATGTTGGCTGTTGATAAAAAGTGTTTGGCAAACTTAGCTTCTTTTAATATGTGATTTTTATTTTAAAATTTCACACCATTTTTCATATAAAATGATTTAAAAATAAATTTAGTCAAACATCGTAACGCGTAACGTAAAGTTTATTCATGGACGGAGCGAATATATTTAAAGACGGTCAAAAATTTAGAACCGGCCCCTTCAGTACTTCTCTGAGTTCTCTCAGATATTCTCTGATCTACAGAATCTGTTCGTATCTGAAAAGTGTATTCGATAAGATGTTTTGGACCCATGGATATACGGAGTATATCATTTGCAGTAGTTAGATTAATTTTACAGTTTAATTTAATTTACTCTCCAGAAGGCTTTAGTAAGTCCATCAGAAAATCTTTTGAACACATCCTCGATCTGCAGGTTTCCACTCTGTTCTTGAAGAGATGGCGGAAAGATCATCGTCTCCGCCGTTAATGTGCAAACCAGCAGCAGCAGAAGCCGCCATTTAAGCCCCCCATCCATCATCTGGTCATGCAACCGGCGCATCCGGCCTCTTCTCGACTGCATCGACCAGCTCAATCAACAGCATCGCCAAACGACGTCGTTTTGCAAAAAAAATCGGATAAAGATCGGTAGCCGGCTGGGCAGTGCCGCATATAGCCTTGGAGCCGCCCCAGGCCTGCTCCGGATTAGCCTTTACCAGGTTTTTATCTTTAATTTTTGGATAAAGCTACTTGTACCCCATATTTTGTACCCCGCAGGTTTGCATTGTGAAACTAATTTTTGTTAATGCACAAACACTTTGTGTCTGTGTAAATATTTGTTAACCCACCAGCACTTGTGCCGGTGCAAATCATCAAAATGTTTGCTGTGTACAAATGGTGTACAATTTGTGGTGTCAGTGTAGCATGACCCTTAATTTTTTTACCAGGTTTCTGCAGTTTTTTTATCTTTCGGTTTAAAGACCTACTCCGTATTAGACCTTAAAGGTAAATAGGATTAAACACCTACAGTTTTTTTATCTTTAAATTTTTTTAATTTCATGCCGTATTTGCCTATTTGGTGGAGATTTTTTTTTTTTTTAAATTTCTCCATCATGCCGTATATGGTGGAGACTGGAGAAATAGGATTAAAAGTCTGCATATTTCATGTTTTCTTTCACATTTTCACCCAATGTCCCGCAGCTGCTCACCACATATTTATAGCAATATTTTACTAATTGATGGACGAAATCTCTGCCCTGGAGGAGTCTAAGGGAATTCATCTGCAAAATTTCCTCCCCCTTGGAGTTTTTCTGAACATGCTTCAGAAAAGAGTGGAGGCGGTTTCCGCAATGCCGAGGGATTTCGTCGACCGCCTGTGGGATTATGTAGAAAGGGTTCTGATGCACCATTGTGATACACAATGGCTACCCGCTGCTCCAGTCTTCCACGAACCCAGAGTACATTGCGACCTGTAATAAACCCATGTCCAGGCAAGCAGAGTTCATGGAGATTCTGGATTCGCCGCTGGCGGTTTCAGTTGGGTATACTCATACAGGCAGGTTAGTTGTTCTCACTCGTTGAAATTTTTGAATTTAATCTTTTGGAATAATATACTACATGTTTCATATTGTCAAAATTTTGCATTTATTGATAGTGAACCATTAAACTTAGAACTTGTTCTCTTAAACTTATTCTTATTGTAATCAATATCCCAAAGAAATAAACAGAAAAACTCTACCAAACTAAAACACTCAAGTTGCTTCCAGTAAATGAGCGCGTATTTCACACCATCTTTTTGGTTATTATTTTTTCATTTCAGGAGTACACGGGAGCATTCCGGTGAAGTCTTTTAAGAAGAATATTGAAGTGATCGGTAATAGGCTAGAAACGGTGCATCTGAGGTCATACTCCCAGAACGTGGCTCAAAAAGCATTCGACCTGAAAAAGAAGATGATTGCGTATTTGTAGAAAATAATAATAGGAGAGAAAATATTTAATATATTGAATTGGCTTTAGAAGTGGAACCCCCTTCATCAAAGGTCAAATAACATAACTTATTGAATTGTTTTTCTTTGTTAAGATCTTCTATAAACTTCACCACGGATTCCTCCATTCTTGGATGCCCGCAAGGGTATCCAAACAAAAATCCCATGGCATTAAAATCCTTAACTCGAGACACTCTGATAACAAGTGAACCACAATTGCATTTATTCAATTTCTTCCCTATTTCCTACTTTCTATTTCTTCTTCGTGTTCTTGTTCTTCTTCTTCTTCCCTTTTGATGCTTTCCTCTCCCTTCATCCTTTCCTCCCCTTTTCCGCAAACTCCCTTCCAATGAAATACGAGGCAAACGTGTTAAGAAGTCTCCCTCCCAAAAAGAGAAAGAGGACATGCTTGCCTCGTATTTCATTGGAAGGAAGTTTGCTGAAAAGGGGATGAAAGAATGGAGGGGGAAGAAAGTATCAAGAGGGAAGAAGGAGAAGAAGAACAAGAACAAGAAGAAGAAAGTAGGAAATCATCAAGAAGGAAAAATCTGAACAAATGTAGTTGTGGTTTACTAGTTATTAGAGCGTCTCAAGTTAATGATTCCAATGCCATGGGATTTTTGTTTGGATACCCTTGCGGGCATCTCGAAATGGAGGAGTTCATGGTGAAGTTTATAGAGGATCTTAACAAAGAAAAAAAATTCAATAAGTTATGCTTGTCGACCTTTGATTAAGGGGGTTCCACTTCTAAAGCCAATTCAATATACTCCGTATAAAATATTTTCTCTCCTAAAATATTCGGTCGCTCCTAACGGGCGGCACCACCCTTAGCCGCCTGTCAGGCCATTGTTTTTCCTTTAATCTAAGTTACTCATCACCATCAAGCCGACAACACCTCAAACTTAATCCCTACCCATATTGAATCACTACCATTCAATACTCTTTCTACCCATTACATTCCGGTAGAAACAAATTCCTATTGGTTTGTGGAAAGTGTCGCACCAATTTTCAGGGTCTCTTTGGTCGCAGGTCACTCCTGTCGTGTCCTTAGAAGGATGTCCTTCTCAATGAAGACTATAACTCGTGAAGAAATTGCCCAACAAAGTTTGTTCTACAGAGACGGACAACACTTTATTTTGCAGGCAAAAAATTGGGGGTTTAGGATGTTTGAAAAGAATGACGTTCGTCCGGTTTGTTTGAATTTGATGAAGGTTCGAAAAGAATGACATTCCTTTACTTGATTGATTATTCTCACTTTATTATATTCTTCATCATTGGAACATGACACAATGGCGTTGCACATCCAGTTTGCCATCCACAAGCTGGTGATGGATGAGATGGAAGAGGAGATCGTGGCGGGACTGATGGAACCGAAAGGCGGGGGAGGCATTGGATTGAGGGGATGGTGCTGGATGAGTGTCCGGAGGTGGCGAAGAAGCGCCACCAGTTAACGAGGAGTGTCAAGCTGCTCTAGGAGTCCAAGGATGTTGTGGCTGCTATCATGGATCGCATAACCATGGATGATTAGGGGTTATTATCTCTTGCTTTTCGATATGCAGGTTAATTAAGGAAGGGGTTTAGACTGTTTTGATAATTAGGATCTCAAGTCTTTGGACCCCTGTTAAGTTATCTATTCTGTACTTTTGTTATGTTTATCCTACTACTAGCTAGTTTATTTTCAAAGTTTAACACTCTCACTCAATGGCTTGTTCACAAACGCAACACTTTTAGGACTTGCTAAGATAGGGCGATAGCCATAGGTACATGAGTATGACCCCAAGCTCTCTATGTCATTTAAAGTTTCAAGGATTGGATGATATTGACCATAAACTCCTTGAAATTATTTAGTGACGTTGATTAACTTGTTTCCTATTTTTTTAATACAAACTAGATCAAAATATGAATAAAACAAAAATTTTATTTTTAAAATATGTCTGAACAATTTTTATCTTTAAAAATAGAAGTTTATAGTTTAATATTGTGACACTATATATTGTCATTATGAAGTACTTTTTGGTATTATATGTCAAAATTATTGATATTGTACGTAAGTCTTATTTTGGGAGTAAAAATATGATGCCTTCATATTGATGTTTTTTCTATATTTCATTCCTATTTTAATCTTTTACATTTTTTTTCCATTACGTTCTTTAATTAAAAGGAGATAGAGTTAAATTTAAAAAGGTGTCATAATTCGGTTCACTTGTAGTTTGGAAAATAGATATTAATAACCTCTCTGTTTTGAAAACTCACTTCTGATCTTCTTATGGTTTCAAAATTTGCCATTCATCTTTTTGACGAAGCAAATTGATGCCAAATTTTAAAACCATAAGGTATCATATACCAATTTCTTATTTTCTATTCATTTTTAAAATATTTTTAAATTGTTCTTTATAATTTTCTAAAATCAAAATTCTTTGTATTTGAAAGGTAGTATGAATGAAATGAAAAAATTAACATATTACTTCATCTATAGTGACTAAATAATTTTCATTTGTTTTCTAACATAAATACAAAAACTTTTTGAAAAATTTTAAAAATGATGAAATGGAAAAGTAAATAAGATAAAAATACAAAATTGCACTTTTAAATAAAAGAAATGTAAACATGTAGTGTAGTGCGGTGATGAAGTTCTTTTTGATACATCCAAAACAAGTAATTTTTTCGATGTCCCAAAAAGATTACTCTTTTATAATTTTAGAAGCCGGTGGATATTACGCAGTTGGCAAGGCAAAGAGTATCAAAGGGGTAAAATCCAAGTTCGATTTCTGGCAACTGCGCAGGGAGGTAGTTATGTTAAGCATAAAACTTCTGCAATTACCGAGTGCAATCTTTACTCTTTGTCACCAATCTGCGATTAAAGCTCAATTTACCTCCCGTAACCGTCCAGCCGGGTTTGAGGTGGACTTCGGGGATGAGGCTCATCCTTTTTTATACTCCCTCCGTCCACTTAAGATTTTTCCATTGCGTGTTATGAGACTTGACTGATTTTATTTTTAATTTAATTTATTTGAATATAGGGGTAAAATTTTAATATAAAATCTATATAGTATTAAATTACATGAAAAGTTCTACAAAACTAGAAGTGACAACACTATTTTATTTTATGAAATGAGTAGTAAAAATAAACAAAGTGAATTAAGTTTGACCCTGTGAATAGTGTCTGAGATCTCTATGGTGGACAGAGGGAGTATAATTTTAGACGTAAAAAGTTATTTTTTATTAAAAAATTGAATTTCTTGAGCATCGGTCTAAAAGAATATCTTTATTTTTTTTATCAATAAGAGTGTTTTTTTTCTTTTTTAATTTTCTTTTACACGTGTTTCTATTTTGTATTTGATTTTTTCTATTTTTTACGTTATTTTACTTTGGAAAACAAAAATTAAATTGAAAGTTTTCAAAGTGAGACAAATAAATTATCTGATAATTTATTTTATTTAATTTATTTTTATTTCAAGCACAAACAATTTTGAAATTCTAAAAAATTATAAAGAATAATCTCTAAAAAGAAATGAAAATTGAAAATAAGATAGTGGGCTCTCATACCTCCCAAAGTTTGGAAAATAGACATCAATATCCCTCTTGTTCGATAGAAAATGACTAAAAAGTAGTCGGAGTGGTGCATGTGCATACAACATTAATTTTGAAACCACATGAATTTTAGAAGTACTCTGTATTTTTTTATACCAATAAATTGTTGTAACTTTATTTTTAATTCATTAAATGTTTTTATACTCTCTAGTCTCTCCATTCCAAAGTAAGACTTCTTATTTCTTTTTAGGGCTTTTCAATAAAGCCTCTTCTTTATTTTTTAGAAAACTTTGAGTAGCTCATAATTTTCCCTCTTTTCTATCACTTTCATTCATACATTTTTAATTCTCTTAAATTTTTTTGCCAAATCAAGCTAGAAGCCTTTTTTAGAATGGATGGAATATATAGTTAGTCAAATGTTTCACACATAAAATGAATTCAACAGTTAAAAAATGGAGAGAGTAAGAAGTAATTAAGGATGCATTGTGTTTGCTAGTCTGATTTTTGATATCTGATTAGATCTGATATAATTGGGTATGATTTAATTAGATATAATATGATTTAATTCAACTTTGACCGCGTATTACCAAAAAAATATATTAAGTTTTCATATAAATTTATTATCAATAGATTAATTTTGAGACATAATTTTAAAATATATTATTTTCAGAATATATACTTGTATAAAAATGAAGATATTCATGGTCAAGATGACTCATTAGAGACCATCAAAATTCAAATGAGAAGTAGAGTAGTTTTTTTACATTAAGTGGGGTGTATTGAATTCAGATTTTAGTAGATTGTGTTAGATTTTTTATAATCCATGGATTATACAAATCAATGGATTATTTAAATTCTATAAAGATTTTAATGTATTTTTTTTTATCAAGATTTGTTTAGATTTTTAAAAGTCTATGGATTGGTCTAGAAAGCTCAAGAATCACTTATCCAAATAAGCAATGTACATTACCCCCTTGTCCATAGAAAAAAGGCAAAAAAATTCAAAAAAATATAAGTAAATAAAAATCAAATAAAAATGTGTGGTGAAGAAGGGGGTGGTGTATAGGTGTACCCTAGCATTGCTCAAATTCTATTTCCGTGCTCTCCAAAGCCTTGTCAGATGTTGCAGCCGGAAGAAACATGGCTATTCTGGCAGTCTTGCAGCGCGTGAATCTGACCTCAATCGGAAAATAAATCCCATTTCGACGGCCAACAACCATCGTTGTCTACAAAACTCGCTACTCTTCACGGAGATGGTCAAAACTCAAAACTACTTACGTGATGCTCTCGTGCTATCGCCGTCTGGAAATCTGCTGCTCGTTGTATTTGGATGTCATACCCTTCTTCACTGCCAATGTCAAAATTGACTAGGCGTAGGAGCCATGCCAGTACATCAAAACCCTAGAGGTAGAAACTCCATGGACCCGCTACTTCGAAATCTTTTGGTTTCTGGAAAGATTTCTACATCAGCTTTTATTTATACCAAATACCCTAAAATCCATTACAATCCATCACTTTTTAAATTCTTTGGAAATCAATAGATTTTTCAATACCATCAGATTTAAATGGATATTTTAAAGTCTCATTGAATACATCAAGATTTTAAATGACTTTTTAAAATCTTAATTGAATACCTATGAATTTTTAAAATACAAAAAAATCTTGTAAACTCTGTATTGAATACACCCCCTAAAGGTTAAAATATTTTCGGACCATGTAGTACTAACTATATATACTACCCCCTAAAATTTTAAACTCTGAAGTGACTCTCTTGTGGTTTATAAAATAGACAAATACTCCGTACTTCATATGTTTTCAAAATTTATTTCTGAAGTCCAAGTGATTTCAAAATACTACATATGTGCCCTCTTATTATATTCCGGTCATTTTTCTAGTGAAAAGGGAGCATTGTTGCATAATTTCTCAACTATAGGGGGTATTAGTGTTCACTATTTATATATAAGAAAAACTATTTTCAAACCGCTAATTTTATCAAACATTTTTAACAATCAGCCAATTCATCTTGCCGGTCAAACCAGCTAAACTAAAACTAAAGAGTCATTCACAACAGCTGACACGAACTACCAACAGTCAACAGCTGACAGCCAACATCCAAACAAGGTCATTCTCTGCATAGTCTTTTCGTATCTGAAAAGTGTATTCGAGGAGGAGATGTTTTGGACCCATGTATAAATATCATTTGTAGTAGTTAGATTAATTTTACAGTTTAATTTAATTACTCTCCAGAAGGCTGTTATGGATAATAGAGTATGATATTTATTATTATTATTATTAATATTAATATTAATATTAATATTAATATTAATATTAATATTAATATTAATATTATTATTATTATTATTATTATTATTATTATTATTATTATTGTAATTTAGGTTTTATTAGATGAGCGGAATTATAAGCTCCTTCGAGGTTTCTTTACGGTTCTTTCCCTCGTCGCTTTTATTGAACCGTTAGGTTAGTGTTAGGGTTTCCTTCTTCCCTATATAAGGAGATGTAACCCCTTTAGAGTAAAGCAATCAATAAACAAATCAAAACCCTAATCTCTTCTCCTCTCTCGGTTCGTCGATTCTCTTCGTCTCAATTCTTCTTCTTTCTCGTCTCATATTCTCAAGAGCTTGAAGACACTATAAGTCTTCCCTATCCGATACGAGTTCGTATCATTGGTGCTCTCATTGATTTGAACACCCCAAAAAAACAAAAAACAAAAAAACAAATCCGCTGTTGCTGCTCTTTGAAATCGAAGCTCCTGAAGAACGAAACAAAACCCTAGGTGCAGGATCGCAGAATTCAAGAGTGAAATCCGTACCAATTCACCACCAGCATCAACTTCCACCTTCAGTTTTTCGAACCGCCACTGCTCATTTTGCCGTTTGGTGTTGTCAATTAAGGAAAAAAAAGGTCCAGACTTTTGCCATTTTGCCGTTTGGTGCCGTTTGGTGAATAAAGTCAAATTGAAGAGTTATAGTTTGGATTGTTGCAGCCTTCACCAAACCGTGGGGACTTTCCAGGTGCTCTCATAATTAATTATGTTCAAGAATTGTGCAAAGGCCCCTTGTATTGATACACTCATGGTTGATAATCTCTTCAATTTAATTGAGATTGTTTTCGATGAAAAAATTGATTTTGATGAAAGAGTGTGCTTAGTTTATGCTCAACTTGATGAAATTATCAAGACGCTCCGCTCGTTTGCTAATATTGAAGGTCAATCAACTTATGAGCCTAACTTATCTATGTTTGAGGTGGACATCTCATGCTCAATACAAGATTTGGTTTGTGATTCCTCAATTGTGTCGATTACTTTGGAGTTACAAAATTTCAGAACGCACGTGTTGGACGCGCTAAGGAACCTCATCAATGCTCCGTCTGCACCACCAAGTTTGCCCCATACGGTAACTATGCAGCACACCGCTTCTCTTGGCCAGGAATTTAAGGAGGAACTTGATGTTGGTCCTATTCCTGATGTTGTTCCCGTGCTCATTGCCGATGTTGTTTTTCCAGACGATGTTGATAGGGACGACTCTCATCGCGACCAATATCTTCAGGTTCAAGTTTTCAGAGATTATGTAATTTTTTATGGATGTACCAACAAAATTGAGATGTCAAGTACTGAAGTTGTTTTACAAGCGACAAGTCTCTTGAATGGCTCTCTCTCGTATTTCTCTCATCGCATTCTAAGAGGCATGTTGGTTGATAATTGGCCGAGAAGCGGATATCGTTTTTGGTTCAGCACCCTCTCTCTGGTCCAAAAGCACGAGTGGGATTCTCCACCTTGAGGACAAGGTGGTTTTCTAAGGGGATGAAAGTGTTATGGATAATAGAGTATGATATTTATTATTATTATTATTATTATTATTATTATTATTATTATTATTATTATTATTATTATTATTATTATTATTATTATTGTAATTTAGGTTTTATTAGGTGAGCGGAATTATAAGCTCCTTCGAGGTTTCTTTACGGTTCTTTCCCTCGTCACTTTTATTGAACCGTTAGGTTAGTGTTAGGGTTTCCTTCTTCCCTATATAAGGAGATGTAACCCCCTTTAGAGTAAAGCAATCAATAAACAAATCAAAACCCTAATCTCTTCTCTCGGTTCGTCGATTCTCTTCGTCTCAATTCTTCTTCTTTCTCGTCTCATATTCGCAAGAGCTTGAAGACGCTCTAAGTCTTCCCTATCCGATACGAGTTCGTATCAAAGGCTTTAGTAAGTCCATCAGAAAATCTTTTGAACACATCCTCGATCTGCAGGTTTCCACTCTGTTCTTGAAGAGATGGCGGAAAGATCATCGTCTCCGCCGTTAATGTGCAAACCGGAGCTGGTCGATGCAATCGAGAAGAGGCCGGATGCGCCGGTTGCATGACCAGATTATGGGGGCTTCAAAATGAAAAAAGTTAATAACGAAATAAAATAAATAAATCCGACAATAAAATTTTAGTAATGAATATTATCTTTTTATAAATGACATAATTTACTTTGAATATAAAAAGGTACTCCACCATAGATCTTTCTAGACATTATTCACATGGTCAAACTTAGTTCACTTTGTTTGTTTATTTTTACTACTCATTTCATAAAATAATATAGTGTTGTCACCTCTAGTTTTGTAGAACTTTTCATGTAGTTTATTAATACATATATTTTATATTAAAATTTTACCCCTATATTCAAACAAATTGAATTGAAAATAAAGTCGGTCAAGCCTCGTAACGCGCAATGGGAAGATCTTAGGTTGACGGAAGGAGTAATTAGTTATAAAAATAAAAGTATAATCATTATAGGCGTGAAGTTAGTGAGATGGGGATTACACTCAAGATTGTGTTCCGTTTGTCTGATCGGATTTAATTTTTTGAAATATTGATGCGACTTGATCTGGTTTGATTCGATCTGATCATACTGGAACTGATCTGAATTGATTTGATTAGATCTGATCTGATTGAATTTGATTCAATTTCAATTAGAAATAAAATTATTATTATATTTATAATAATAGTAATAATAATAGAAATAATAATAATAATAATAATAATAATAATAGACTAATATGAATAGAAACAATATTAGTAATAATAGTAATAATAATAAGGATATTGCTAAATTCACTCCAAAATGACTATATCAACTCTTTTAAATTGAATTTCACGTTGCTTAATCCACTCAAATGTCAGAGCTATATTAATGGGTGTGGATATAGCAAATATAAGAAAAAACATGAATATAGTCATTTTGGGTGGATTTAGCAATACCCTAATAATAAGAGCACTGGAAATACGTTTGAAGCCCCGGAGCTTTAAACCGGGGCTTCAAACTTTCTCTCTCTGCCACGTCAGCTTTAACTTACACCAAAAATTCACTGGAAATGGGTTTGAAGCCCCGAGGCTTCAAACTGGGGCTTCAAACCTTCATTTTTTACATTTTTAAATATACATCTTTTAAATTTAAATTAATAAATTTAAATTAATTTATTATTTAATTATATTGAAACACGAATACAAAAAAAATACATTCATTAAATTTAAAGAAATTGGAACGACAATAATTTAAAATTTAAAAAATTATATTCATTAAAATAAAAAAAACGACAATAATAAAAAAGATACATTAATAAAAAAAAAACTAAGGTAAATTATATTTCGCCTTGATCTCTCTTTGTCTTTGCTCGTAGATCATCCGTTTGAAAACCGACAACGAAGAAAGGCCGGTTTAAAAAATTACATTCATTAAATAAAAAAATTACATTTATTATAAAAAACTACATTAATTAAATAAAAACATTACATTCATTAAATAAAAAAATTACATTCATGAAAAAATAAGTAAAATACCTGAATAATAATTTTTTTTTAAAAAAGATGATAGATAGAGAGAAATTTGTATTTGTGTTGAATTTTTTTAAAAAATTAAATTTAATTTATAGAGAAGAAAAGAGGAAAAAAAGAGGGAGAAAAAGGAAAGAAGAAGGTGTGATAATGCCTTCAAACCGCGCCAAAAATTTGACGCAAGTATTTTAACGCACTTTTAACGGGGGAGGGGGGCGGTGTTTAACGCCCCCCAGGCGTCAAAATGGTGATAACGCTCCTCGGCGTTAGGAGTAGTACCAGTGCCCTAATAACAATAGTAAGAGTAAGAGTAGTAATAGTAAAAATAGTAGTAATAATAATATTCATATTGTTTAAATTTTATGTGATTGGATCTGATTTAATTTTTTTGTTTTGATTTAATCTAATTTTAACAAGAATAAATAACGAATACGGAGTAAAAAATACCCGAGTAAGGGCCTGTTCTTTAGGGCTTGAACTCTTAACTTCCAGTTTCTTCCAGTTTTTTCCAGTTCCTTCCAGTTTCTTCCAGTTCTTCCAGTTCCTTCCAGTTCCTTCCAGTTTCTTCTAGTTCCTTCCAGTTCCTTCCAGTTTCTTCCAGTTTCTTCCAGTTTCTTCCACTTTCTTCCAGTTCCTTCCAGTTTCTTCCAACTTTTTTCATTTTCTTCAAATTCTTTCTACTCTCAACCAATTACTCTAAAAATGATATATTTCAATGTGATTATTATTATCATTATCATTATTATTATTATTATTATTATTATTTATACTACTACTACTACTATTATTATTATTACTATTATTATTATTACTATTATTACAACTGTTATATTCATAACTATAGTTTATAAATTATTTTTTTCATCTCACTATTTGTACGATTCACACTTATTATTTTTTCTTCAACTTTTTAATATGAATAAGACATTTTTTTGTATATTAGTCTACAGGATAAAACAGGAAAACATCAATATGTTAAATTATACTAAAAAATTATGAATAAAATAGTTGCATTGAATGTTTTATTAATATATAACTTGTTATAAGACATCTCAGTTTTTCTTTATTACTTAAAAATTGCTCATTTTTCTAATTTGTATACAAAAAATTATAATTCAAAAGAGCTTAGAGAAAAAGACTAAAATATGAGTAAAACATAAAAAATATAAACAAAAAAGTTCTATGTCTTAATTCCAAAAATAGGAATTCAATGAAAATAAAATGTCAATAATGAAAGAAACAATAGGTTTGAGTATGTGACATGTATGATATTTAAAACAAAGTGTTTTAATATATAAATTATAATTACAAATACATTATTAATAATAAATACTGCATAAATAAATTGAGTTGCAATATAACTACACAGCCTTTTTAAAATTTAATAATTTTATATTTATGCTAACTTTATATTATAATTATTTTTTGTAAAAGTAGTTTTTTGTATTTATAAAATAACAATATTTTTTTATATCTTAAAGACATACACTAAGATAACATGATTATGATGCTGATTATGTTGATGATTATGATGACGATGATGATGATGATGATAATGATAATGATAATGATAATAATAATAATAATATTAATAAACATAATAATAATTTATAACAACAAGAATTTAAAATAAATATTTTTTAAGTTTTTTTAGGTTTTCCAGTTTTTTCTAGTTTTTTCCAGTTCTTTCAGTTTTTTCCAGTTTCTTCCAGTTCCTTCCAGTTTTTTCCAGTTTCTTCCAGTTTTATCCAGTTCCTTCCAGTTTTATCCAGTTTCTTCCAGTTTTTTCCAGTTTTTTCCAACATCAACTCTTTTTTTACCGTCATAAAGAACAGGCAAATTAAAGAAAACTAGAGCCTAATAGGCTAATACATTGATGGAGTTTAGGATTTGGGAGGACTCGGTAAGGGTTAAATGCCCATTGGACATAGAGAATGCGCCGCCCAATATCTCTTCGGCTCTGGAACGGACATCGAGCAAACTTATGGTCCCATCGTTCTCAAATTAATTGAGAGTTGAGAAACACAAACGCTTCATATTCCCCCTTACTATCTACAGTTTCATGCAACTCATTTTTGAACTCATTTTCAATGCCCTATAAAAATGCAGAGCCTCTCCCCTCACCTTGAACCCACATCCCAAGCTACTCAACACTCGATCTCCTCCGGTTGACAATCCCATCCTTCTTCTTGATCAGAACAGTAACAATGGCCATAGTGATCAAAGAGCTTTCGATGGACGCCCACGATGCGCCCATTGTGTCCTCCTACAATGACCGCATCCGACCGTTGCTTGACTGCGTGGACAAACTCCGGCACCTGAAGATAGCGCAGGAGGGGATTCAGCTTCCGACGATCGTCGTCGTCGGGGACCAGTCCTCCGGCAAGTCCAGCGTCCTCGAGTCCCTCGCCGGAATCAGCCTCCCCAGGGGACAGGGGATATGCACCCGCGTCCCCCTCATCATGCGCCTCAAAAACGTACCCAATCTCACCTCGCCGGAGCTCCACTTGGAGTTCAACGGAAAAGTCGTCCAGACCGACGAGGCCGGCGTGGCAGACGATATCGTCCTCGCAACCGATGAAATCGCCGGGAGGGGGAAAGGGATTTCCCACACGCCGTTAACGTTGACCGTGAAGAAGAACGGCGTCCCGGATTTGACCATGGTGGATCTGCCCGGAATCACCCGGGTCCCTGTTCACGGTCAGCCGGAAGATATCTACGAGCAGATATCCAACATCATCATGGAGTACATTACACCCGAAGAGAGCATTATCCTCAATGTTCTATCAGCAAATGTTGATTTCTCAACTTGTGAGTCCATAAGGATGTCCCAAAAAGTGGACAAAACAGGGGAGAGGACGCTGGCGGTGGTGACCAAAGCCGACCGGGCACCCGAAGGCCTGCTCGAGAAGGTGACCGCGGACGATGTCGGGATTGGGCTTGGCTACGTCTGCGTCCGGAACAGAATCGGAGATGAATCGTACGACGAGGCACGGGTAGAAGAGGCCAGGCTCTTCCAGAGCCATCCTTTGCTTTCCAAGATTGACAAGTCCATTGTCTCAATCCCTGTTTTGGCCCAGAAGCTGGTGAGAATCCAGGCCAACATCATCTCCAAGTGCCTCCCTGAAATCGTGAGGAAGATAAACGACAAGCTCTCGGCCAACATGGCCGACCTGAACAGGCTCCCGCAGGGACTGTCCTCTGTCTCTGAGGCGCTGACCGCCTTCATGAGGATCCTCAGCCAGGCGAAAGAGTCCCTGAGGAAGATCCTCATTAGGGGCGAGTTCGAAGAGTACCCAGAGGAAAAGGAGATGCATTGCACAGCCAGGATGGTAGAGATGTTGAACGTCTACTCCGGGCAAGTCCAGGCGTACCGATTCAACTTCGAAGGGAATAACAATTTCTTGATGGACGACGTCATGGCCTTGGAGGAGGCCAAGGAGATTGGCCTCCCCAATTTCCTCCCCCGCGGCGCATTCCTCTCCATCCTCCAGAAGAGGGTGAAGGGGATTTCTCCCCTGCCGCGGGATTTCGTGGAGAAGTTCTGGGACTACATAGAAGGTATCCTTGTCAAGGTCTTGATGCACCATTCCGACAGCTACCCGCAGCTCCAATCTTCGATGCGAAGAGCTGCGCAGAATCTTATAGCCAAGAAGAAGGACAGGTCCTTCGAATGGGTCGTCGAGATCATCGGGATGGAGATGCTCGCTGATTATTCATGCAATCCTGAGTACACTACGACGTGGAACAAGCTCATGGAGAAGGAGGAGGAGTTCATGGCGATCTTGAACGATGCTTCGAAGAGCTCGAGGATGAAGATCGATGGGGTGGACGTTGAAATCGGGCACCTGAGGTATTACAAGGATGTTGTGAAACAGGCTTTTGATTTGAGGATGAGGTTGATAGCTTATTGGAAGATAGTTATGATGAGGCTTGTGGACTCCATGGCGCTCCATATTCTTTTCAGCATTCAGAAGCTGGTGAACAAGGACATGGAGGATGAGGTGGTGGCGGATCTGATGGCGCCCCACGGCGGCGGGATTGAGAGGATGCTGGAGGAGTCGCCGGTCGTGGCGGAGAAGCGCCACCGCTTGACCAAGAGCCTCAAGCTGCTCAAGGAATCCAAGGACGTGGTGGGGAATATCATGGACAGGCTTATGATGAATAGTGATGCTTGCTAAGGGAGGGATGTTTGGAACTTTGATGTGTCTGTGTTTTTTTTCTTAAACATTTTCATGATGCGTTTTGGGTTTTTGTTCAAGTTAATGCAGTTCAGGGGTTTATTGTTCTGAAGTTTATTAATCTAATCAAACATTCGGGTGCCCAGTTCTTCAGTACATTGTGGACATTTGTGGTTTTATTTGGTTTGGCTTTTCTCCCGTACCTTTAAAATTTGAGGATTTTACTTAAATAGCACTAAAACATAATGACTTTCCCTAAATAGCACCACATGTGTTTTTCTTCAATGTAGCTCTTTTAGTCATTATGCATTAGTCATTATTCAAGTAAATATCCGCCATCACTAGACATTATGGACATTATTAAGTGCCATTTAGGGAAAAAAACAGTTTAAGTGCTATTTAGAGAAATGACTTAAGTTTTAGTACTATTTAGTGCAAATATTTCTTAAAATTTTTAATGTACTTTCTGAAATATATAATAATTATAACTTGTTTTTAAATTTACATTATTATTAAAATAAATAGAATCAAACTAATTTCATTTTAACATATTGTACTCTTTTGATAAGTTACTGCAGTTCAGGGGTTTATTGTTCTGAAGTTTATTAATCTAAATATCTAATCAAACATTCCCGTGCCGTGTTCTTGAGTACAGTGGGGTTTTATTTGGTTTGTGTCTACACATTTGTGCATTGGTCTCTTTTTGAAAATGTAGTTTTTTTGGGAACCTGGCAATATATTTTAAGATAAAACTAGATTTTAACCAGCACTATGTAAGGCATGTAAATGTTTAAAAAAATAGAAAATTATTAATATCACATAAATTAGAATTAATTATAAAATAGAATGGAATATTTGTGTTCGTTGTAATGAGAAAAAATGCAAAAAAATAAATTCTTAGGTATTATATTCAATACTTCTAAATTCACATTATATTGTTTATTTAATATCAGAAATCAATTTGGATTTAAAAGAGCAATAGGGGTGTAGTCATCAATATGTTTATCACTTCTTAATTTAATAGTATCAGAAATCAGTTTGGTGAAAACATTTATAATTTCATCTATGTTTTTTGACATATCCAATCTAAATTTGAAAATTTTTTTAAGTAAGAAAATCTTGTTTGGCAAAGAAATTTCAGTATAAAGTTCGTAAAATTTATTCCTAAGATCTTTAACACATTCCAAAATACGAACTTTTCTAATCACAAAGTCAGTTAAGTTCAAGTAATTATAGAACATGTAATTTCATTCATTTCAACTCTTTTTTTCTTTAATGTATGTTTCTAGATATGAATCACTAAGAGTCCTATAAACTTTTTTATTAACAAGAACACATTTCAATTTTTATTTCTAAATACTAAAAATAAATTTTTCTATTGAAAGGAGTCAAAGCATACTGATTCATAGTAAACATATCCACACAGAAAAACAAAAAAAAAATCACTACAAAAGTAGAAAAAAATCCCACAAAAGGGAATAAAAAATAGAAAAAAATTCAACAACACAAAGGCAAGTAGAATTTTGCCTATTTTTTCAAATTTAGGTCACGTGTGTGAGGCAATTGCACGAACAAACTGAGATTATCATGTTGTGAAATTTTCACTAAATAAGACTAAAACATAAGTCATTTCCCAATGATCATATATTGGAAAATAAAAACACATGTCATACTTAGGTAAATTCCTCTATTATGTTAGCAAAATTGCTTACTCAAACTCGTTGCTCTTTAACACGAGCACAAACTCTTGCATATTCACTTAACAATCCTTAATTTCTTCATCCATGTTGTGATTTTAGTCCCTTCACTAACAGAAAACGAAATGCATGTCTTAAAAATTACAATGATGCTAAGATAATTGTGTAATAAGGCTGGTAATATAACACCAGTAATATGTGTATTTCTGGTACGGTGCAACTAAATTGTCTCTCTAAGACGTCTAAGATATAATCCTTAGGAAAAAAAATTGAAATAGTACAATCATGAATAGACATTGAAGTTGTGATACATTATACCGCATTCTACAAATTGCGATGGCATTCTTCTTAGAGAAATTTACTTAAATAGAACTAAAATATAATGATTTTCATAATATAGGACCATATGTTTTTATTTCTCAATGTAGGACCTTTGGTCATTATCAAATAGTCATTATTCAAGTAATGTCCATCATTACTAGACATTATTCCTTCCACTAGGTCATTATTGAGTCCTATTTGGGGAATAAAAAAGTTTAAGTCCTACATTAGGAAAGTCATTATGTTTTAATCCCATTTATTTAGTGCAAATTTCACTTCTTCTTATAATCGAAGTGCATGCCAAAGTGTTATTTTCCCTTCAGGACATATGTAAATTACAAAGTTTTACAGTACTCAGGGAGACAATATTTCTTTGATTTGCGCTGTTTCTTGCCTTTGCGCATCTCTCTCTCGCTGCGGCCTCTGCTTTCCGGACTTCTCAGTCGACCTCTGTAACATTAGAGCAATTGTCACTAGACCATCACAACTCAATATTTTCTTAGCTATATGGATTGTTATAGTATTGCTGGAGTAAATTAATTTTAGGGAAATTTACTTAAATAGCATTAAAATAATGTTTTTTCATAAGTAGCATCACATGTATTTTTTCCCAATCTAGCACTTTTATTCATTATTCATCAGTCATTATTCAAGCAAATGTTCGTCATCGCTGTACATTATGGACATTATTAAGTGGTATTTAAGAAATTAAACAGTTGAAGTGCTATTTAGATAAATAACTCAAGTTTTAGTGCTATTTAGTGCAAATATTTCTTAATTTTACTCCGCATAAATGGTCTTTTATATAAATAATTTTTCATATTTAGTCTCTGATTTGTAAATACTCTGTATTAGATTTGTGGTTTTAGTGTTAGATTTATCTGAATTAGTGAGGGAGTAAAGGCCTGACCTGGACATGATAACATTCACAAACTCATGGTAATCAATCACCCCATTGTCGTCCACGTCCGCCTCCTTCATCATCTCCTCCACCTCCGCATCACTCAACTTCTGGCTGAGACTGTGCATCACGTGGCGGAGCTCGTCGGCGGTGATGTGCCCATTGTTGTCCCTGTCAAAGACTCGAAACGCGTCCCTCAACTCTTTCTCCTCATCATGACCCAACTTCATAGAGGCCATTAGCCCAAGGAACTCGTTGAAGTCTATTGTGCCGCTCCCGTCGGTGTCGGCTTCTTTGATCATTTCTTCCAGCTCTGCTTCTGTTAGGCTCAGTCCCAATGATCTCATCACTATTCCAAGCTCTTTGGCATTGACCTTGCCTTGAAAAATTAGACAGGTATGCACCTATGTTATGTATGATCATACTATTGTTACCCCAAGAAGGGTAAAATATTACAGTACTATTTCTTGAAGAGAATCTTGTGTATAGTACTCCGTATATGTATTCTCATAATTCATCCCGTTTTATTTTACTTGTCCTAATTTCAATATTGAGACTCTAGTTTTTACTAAAGGGTAGATTCTAATTAACTAGAGGATTTAGTTAAAGACTCTCGTTGAAGTCTAATTAACTTTCAAACTTATATTTGATTGTATTTATTAATTTGCTTTAAAATATAGAGTGATTGATAATTCAAGTTCATCAATTTTGATTAAGAAAGGGAAAATTAGACTAAACAGGGAGTAATAAGAAGTAACACTTGTTAGGTCCTTAATATTTAGCACTTGAGTTGGCATTATTTTTTTGACAACACACAATCACTAGTAGACCGTAGTGTAGTGTCCTTATGGTAGTAGAATTGTGTTATTAGAATAGAATTGTTTGTTGGTCATCCTATCTGGACTAGGACGCTACGCTGGGAGATTTGTACGCTGGAGAGTTATCTGCTCAACGAAGGATTCCTGGTCTGTTCAGTAACTGGTTTAATCAATGACTCCTCCCTGGATTAAACGAAGCAGTATACGTAAAGAGTTCTATAGACTCAAGATTAGGGTTTCATCCCATGCCAATGGAGAGATATAAATA